GTCTGGAGCTGACATAATTCCAAGGCCTCAACCGTACCACTTTTATACTCATCACCCGAAATTTCCTCTTTGTGAGGCAGTACACAAAGAGGATTTGCCAATCATACTCCCTCTGCCCTGCTGATGCTGGGGACGACCCTTACACAGAGGCTGAAATTTCAGAGAATAAGCAACCCTGAAGACATGAGTTTACAGAGAATTTCACTTGCCTATGGGGCATGTAGTTCACACAGCTGACAAATACTCTTTGTGCCAAATGTCCTGAGCTCAAGCTATTTGAAAAGAGCAGGATTGAGGTGCTTGGTACATGCAGCTGAGCTGATGGCACTGTAGCATCATTCCATCTCCAACGTGTCAGAGAATTTTCCTACCACAGCGGGGATCCTTTTAGAGCCCCGAGGGGACTTCAGAAATTTTTGTGAAAATGTTAACACTGTCAGGAGCCATTTTATAAATTATAAAAATTGCACAATGTGGTTGGAGTGTTTATGAGGTACACAGAAATCCAAATTTCCTGGCTGTACAAAAGGCAGAACAGTCATCCTTCAGCTTCCCTTTACAGACCAGAATTAGCAACTGTGTAAAATCCATTTCCAAGTGTCTGACACAGCAAGCCTCTTGCAGCGCCAGGGTCACTGCCCATCATGCCCACACACAAACAGCTCTGAGGGAACCCTCCCATGGCCTGCAGACAGAATGTAAGAGAAAGTTTATATTAGAACGCTGCTTTGAAGGAAATGTGGAGCAATACCTGTCCTCCATGACAGCCAAATGAAACTTTATCGATGATGTTGGATTGTCAGTAATAAATAAAAGCAAAATTTTGAGAGTGAAACGTGACACCTCTCAGGGCACAATACCTTGGTTTTACAAACCCATACTTGTCATGAGCTAATTTGCTTCTCTTTCAGTCTGATGCTATCCATCTAACAAGACAAAAGGAGTGTTATTGCATGTTTAACATCATGTGGATTAAACCAATCTTCCTTAGCTAGGAGGCTCCCATTACTGAATCTGTGCTCTGAGCAAAACCAGAACTGTGAGGTGCCTTTCCTGCTCTTGGACAGAGATACCAACTTGTCAGTCACCAGCTTGAGTTGAAGAAGAAAAGAATCAGGAAGTCACTATGAGGGCCTTTACATGGACATAGCTCTTATTTGCTATGGTGTTCAAACAGGCACTGTAAGACCTGCCCCTCTATTTTAATTGCCCTGGGTCACAGGGTCTAAAAGCCATGAGCAATGGCTGAACACCTTGAGTACTGACATTTCCATCAAGAAATAGAAACATCTGATCTATAGCAATAAATGGTGAAATGCATCAAGAAATTTTTATCCTTCTATGGGGAAAAAAAAAAATTCTCCCTCCCAGATCCAGGCTGGCATTAAATAAGGACTGGGTGATGCGAATCCACCTTGTGCTTGCCACTCCCCCAGCCTGCTGGTAGATGCCCATGGAGCTGGAGCCATTCCTACCTGCATCCAGTCCTACTGCTGGGAATAGATGAGGATGTGCTGAGAACCTGTGAGGACAGTCACATGGTCTTCCAGCTTATGTGCTGAATGCTCCTGAGGGATGCTGCTTGGAAGATGTTCACATTTTAATGAGCTTATCTGCTAACATTTTGTTTGGCCCCTCTTCTACTGGATGTGCTGTATCATGAAGATGTATATGTATAAATACGTATTTTCCCCTCTTTCAAAGCCTCTGTCCCCATTATCAGTGATAACGTGGAGAGTTTTGAGGGCTTTATCCTTTTAAAGCGATTATGATGATGTGCACCCTGTGCTCCCGAGTCCCTGCCCCCGGCAGGCACAGACGAGTCCCGCTGCTGCGAGGTGACAGCTCTGTCTGGCTCTGCGGGGCTCTGGCGCTCAGAGCTCCGCGAGGTCATCGCTGGAGAAAACCTTGACGGTGATGTGACCCGGCACCTCGGCTGCTTCCCTGCCGCCTCTCCCTCGGAGCTGCAGCGTCTGCTGCTCTCGGGGGTCACTGGGGGAAGCTGCCAGCACTGCCTGCCCCAGGAGCTGGTCACACAGGATGTTGCTGTTCCAGACCTAGAGACAAGGCAACAGAAAAAAAAAACCAGCTGAAGCCGTGCTGCTCTCACACTCCCACCCGTGCCAGAGGAAGGTCATCCCCATTAACCCCCTGAGAAAGCAGCAAGGAGTGGGCGTGCATCTAAATTTAACTAATTGTCTAGAAAGCATGGGGGAGAGTCTGGATTTGCATGCTTATTTACATACTCTATGCAAATAAGGAGTGAATGCAGCTTTTTGCTTTCTAGGTCACAGCTTGCCTTTGGTTTTGTTTCAAACACTGACTCTGGACAACACATGGCTTTTCTTTGTCTCTGTTTCATCAGGTACCATATAAGGCAAAAGGTAATTCTGTAAATTCTTTCAAAGCCTTGGAACGAAATATGCCTTCAGATTCCTAAGTGTCATGAGTTGGTGTTTATGGAGCAGACTTAAACTAGAAAATCAGCAGAACAGCTCCAGGCACAGCCCACTGAGGGGAGCAGAGATTCTCACACTTCTCTCCTGGTTATCAGTCATACAAAGGTGATGCTGCTGTGCTCCCCTTCCTGCCCTCAGCAGCCTGTGTGGCTTATCTCACCTGGATTGTGATAGGACTGTCAATGTTCTTCTTGTAAAAAATCACTTGTGTGTTGAAGACAGGACTGGTCGTGTCGTGCTGCACAGGCGAGCACACCTTTTGGTTCTCACACTTGACAAGCACGTAGGGATCGGCTCCTGAAACACAAACAGCAGCACAGCTCTTAGGACACAGAATGGCAGCTGAGACCTGCCCCAGATCAGAAACCCAGAAGACACAGTCCCTCCTGTGCCTGGCAGCCCTGCTGCTACTCAGCACAGGAACAGGGAACCAGAGCACACCCTGGGTAACTTGTGTCAGGGCTCCACCCCCCTCACAGGGAGGAGTTTCTTCCCAATATCCCATCTAACCCTGCCCTCTTTCGGTGGGAAGGCATTCCCCCTTGTCCTGTCACTCCAAACCCTTGTCCAAAGTCCCTCTCCAACTCTCTTAGAGCCTCTTTAAGTACTGGAAGGGGCTCTAAGGTCTCCCTGGAGCCTTCTGTTCTCCAGAATGAACAACTCCAACTCTTTCGTTCTGGTAACAGCTGGGTGCTCAGAGCTGGAAACCAGACCCCATTTGCTGTGAAACCAGCTCACTCCTAGACAGGGATCATGAACTTTCCTTGCTGTGCATCCTCCTGGCTCATCTAACAGGAAGTTTTCAAAGTGACTCTCTGAGCTTCCCGACAGTTCTCTAGATGTGACAGCCAAAATGCATCTGTGCACATGACATCTGATATGAAGTTCTGGGTGCCTTGGCCAAAATGAAGGGTAAAATCTGTTCACCTCCCACAATTCCTGTGTAGAACAGGGACAGGAACTGCACAGAAATGCTTTTAGATCCCTGAATGCACGGGTCAGTGGCCACCCTTAGAGTGCCAAGCGAGAAAGTGCTGTCTCTTGTACTCAAATATGAGTGCTAGCATTAGGAAGTAATTTTCAAGAAGCAGTTTCTCTTTGAGACAGCAAAATATTGTCAAAATGCAAACACATTTTCTACAACTGCACTGGTTTCAACAAAGTTTTCTGTGGCAAACTGTCAAAGCAAATCCTCCCCCAGTTTGTCATTTCATTCCCATAAACCTGAGACAATCTCTGAGGTTCTATCATTTGGATTGATGTAATTCTAAAGTTTATATTATCACAACATGTTGTGTCTGTAATAGGTCCTAGTTAATATTTTAAACTACACTTGAATCCCACCTGACCCACTCATATTATTTAACATTCTAGAAATACTTCGCTCCTTTTACACTGAGCATTTTTATGTGTTATTAATGTTGATATTTTCTTTCCCTTCCAACAAAGAGCAAGAACTAATTTGGAAATGCCTGTCTTTACTCTCAAATAGAATGGGCCATCCCACTTTTTAATTAACTTCTAATTAAACACAGGCAATACCATTTTTTGTATTTCAACACAACTATCTCCTGTCTATTCCTGATGTTAATGGCAGCATACCTGTTTTTGCAGACCTTGCTACTTCTTAAATACAGATTTTAAATAAACCCACTGAGTGTGCGTAAATGTAAGTCAGGCTCATAATAGTTCCTTACACACGTTTTGTCACCACCTACTTGCAAATGCCACCACTGGAGTGACAGCCCTAAGGCAGCACGATTATTAGTTTTTTAACAATCCATACCCAGGATGATTTTCCTCAAACACGTCACTCATTTACAAGAACCGATACCAACACCTCACACAAACAAACCGCAGAACAGCCGCATTCAAACCAGAGGGAGTCACTTCCATGCACAAGACACAAATTTTTCCATATGCTGCACTGTGGTCACACCTGGCCAGACCTGCCCCAGGCCTGTTACCCTGACTACACCTCACAGTTCTGTAGCAGGTGACAGAGTACTGGCTTTTCTGATAGGCAAGTGCTTTCTGTGTCACTGAACTTGTGAACGTAGCTCTGGGGCATGGAGTGGCACCAAGCCCTGTGATCAGGGATGGAAAAGCTGCCCTCTTTGCAAAGCAATTTGGAAAATAGGTCTGAATAAAATGGGGTCTTGTATGTCACCCCAGTGGTGTCAACTACTTTGTCTGAGGGTAAAAAGCAGAGCAATATCTGATCATTAGGAGTAATTAAGTGATAAAGGGCATAAGGAGGGGTGGGGACAGGACACAGAGCATAAAGAGGTGACAGGTGTATCTGCCCAATGGATGAGGGAGCAGGTTAATGAAGGGACTTACTAAGTGAGAGGAAAAGAAAATATAATATTTGAAGAAACGTTCATATTCTCAGCAAGAGCTCAAGAAATGGATGGGGGGTAGAAGAGGAACATGAGAGGTTCCTGCACAGCATGACCCCACGCTGGCAAGGCTGAATGGTCAGTTTTATTAGGACTACTGGCTCCAGTTCCAGAACACAAGGAAGAAATGGGAGAGAGAGGCATATGGGGGATGAGACAAGGGATGTTCTCCCCTATGGTTGGCCCAGTTGTGGGCCTGGTTTATTTACGGGACAGAGACAAACCAGAAGGGGCTGCTCACATAGAAAAGCAACATCCTAGTGTTGGCCATGAGCTGGGAATGAAAACAACTCAAACTGCTACTCTGGTGACTGCTCTGGCAGTGGAAGGAGGGCTGGGTTCAGTTCTCAGGCACACAAAAGGTTCCAGCTGTGCCCTGAACACCACACTGTGTGTAACAGCTCTCTCACCTCAGTCGTGGCCATGCTGCTGCTTTGGGAAGTTGTGCAAAAGAAAAGTGCAAAGGAAAGAGTTGGAATCTGTAAAAGCCAGAAACATTAATCTAAGGGTTCAGAGAGTCCAGATGTGGATCCAGAGAAGCCAGAGAGGAGACCAGGGATGACCAGGAGTTCCATTCTTTTGTGGCAATACTAGGAAGCAGTCTTGGAATGTGGGATATTTCCTGTCCCTGGACACATTATTTCTAGTGTAAGTTTACAATCAATGTGTTTCAAGAAATTTCTATATCTAATCTTTTTATCTGTTAAACAAACAAAGTGAGAAACATGTACCATACCCAGCTTTTTCTGCCACCAAAAGTGGACTCTAGTATCAATCAGGAGCTTTGCCAAGTTTCCCAGCAAGGTGCCCTTAGAAGGCAGTGTGCCAGGTGTGGACAGTACCCTGATCTTTGCACAGCTTGATTTGTGCAAGCACATTGTGTGGCACAAATGTCAGCAGTGTGCATTTGACTGCATGGGTGTTCTACTTACACATTCTCCTTACGTCATTTCTCTAAAGTTGCTATAAGATATGGCATTCTCCAAGACAATCTATGAAGATACTTTGTGAGTACTTTGTGAGTTGGAAATACTTACAGAGAAAAAAAAAAAAAAAAAGGCTAATAAAGAAAGAGTCAAACAGGGATTTCACTGCAGAATTCAAGATAATGGGGAAGCCACTGAAGTGAAGTAACTCAGCTCTCCTTCAGAGACCCCTGAATGGATGAGATTTGGAATTCCTGCCTGAAAAGAGACAAAGGCTTTTGCTTGAAAGCTTTATGTTGATACAAATGGAAAATTTTTTAATTTTGTTTGGTGAAGTTTTATTCAATGTCAAACAACAAGATTCATCTAGGTTAAGGAATTTTAAAACAAAAAAAAAATCAGTTCTTAAAAATGAAAATGTCCATCACAGGGCAGGAACAAGAACATGCTGCCTCTTTCCAGTGCATTACTCTGCTACTCTTGTCACATAAAGCCCCTTCATTCTCACCCATCCACCCTGCCTGGCTGACAACAGGGAGCCAAACTTCGCCTTACTTGGTTTAGGTGTTTGCGGATCTTGTTTTTCAAGAAAATTACCAAGAAAAATGAAATTAATCCATTTTCTGCATCTCTTCCCAGAGACAACCACTTTCTTAACAGAAAGTGGCTTTCCCAGTGAAAAGTTCATTCAGTCACCACTCAGCGGGTGCCAGGAATAATTACAAAAAGGGGACTGGAATAAAATTGCAGCCAGCAAGTGGGAGAAATTTTACAACTGCTCTGTGAGACAGAAGATGAACTGTACTGCAGGTCTGAGTCTAATACCTCTCCACCACATGAAGTTACAGCAACCAAGCTCTGCGTCTGAAACAGAAGAGAGTGAAGAGCCACCTGCAGCAAACACGGCAGATGTTTCAAGAACCTCTGTAGTTTCCTCACCAATTTCACTGCAGTATCTTTGCTTCCTCCCTCCAAACCACTCCTTACTGGATGTGTCTACCTTTTTTCGCTTCACTGGCCATGGAAAGTGAAGGCTGACAGAGAGTAGAAGAAAACAACAAAGGAAATGGTAACTGGACAAGTTTTCCAATTAACATCAGGTGCTAGATAGTCAGTTTAGCGTCCTTCAGGACACTTCCTTTGATAGTTACATAGTCATGCATGAAGCATTAACCTCTCCCTGTTCTAGTTTAACCAGCTGAAAATGGTTGTTTGAAAACCATAAAGTCCTCCCTGAAGTGCTGTTAAGCTTGTGGTGACGAATAACAGTTTTTTCTGAAAGCCACGAAAAACATTGTGAGGTGATTGTAATACACTATGTGAATCTGTGCCATTCAGCTGTCTCCCTGGATATTTTCCATTTAGAAAAAAAGGACATAACCCTAAGAGCAGTATTTCTTACTAATCCCCACAGTTAGCTCCTCATGAGGGTCTGGCTACTCCTGCCCATCTGGGCCAGTGGAGATGACCCATAACACTTGCTGTCTTGCATCCCCATATTCATCTGATCTCTTCCCTGGAGGAGATTTTACAGCACAATGAAAATAATACCATACATCCTCAGTTTGTTTGGATAATTTCTGAATGCTTATATATCAACCTAAATCATCTTTAGAGGACTGGAAAGCCCCTTTCGCTCTTCCAGGCTCACTTTCCACTTACCGCCTGATCTGTCTTGCTTCTGTAAACCCTCTGCAGAGTGAACTTTGATTTGGGTGACTCTGCGTGGATAGCCACAAAGAAGATTCCAACATGTCATTTTAGGCTTATCTTCCTTCAGCTCCCTGAAAAATCGTGGGAAAAGCAACTGAAGAAGAAGAACATCAAGTAAACACTCAATTGTTGTGTCAGGGGTGTTTGAGGACAACCAGGCAACCTCTTCCACGGAGATGCAGCCAGTGAGGGCTAGGAAAGCTCTCCTGGAGCTGCGGGTGCAGCCTACCTGAGTTTTGATGGCACATCCGTGAAGAGCCTCAGGATAAACCTTGTGGTGATGCCCGGATGGAACGTGGTTGGGACAAGGACGTAGCGGCCTCGCTGAAGGATCCTCTTCAAGAAGACGGTGCGTGTGTTGATGTACGGAGACGTGGCCACTCTCTCCTGCACGGTGAGCTTGTGCAGCCGATAGCTCCTGTTATCCTCCACCTACAGCCACAGGGCAGGGGAGGGGGCAGTGGAAGGAGGCCATAGCCCACGAACTTAGATTTGTGGAGGCCCTAGGGGCGAATCTCTGGGGTGTGATGTTCCTGTCCTGTGGTCCAGGCCGTGCCAAAGGATTCCCTTTGTGCACACACCCACCGCTACCCGGAGAAGGCCTCACTCGTAGCAGGGGTGCCCCCAAAGCACCCCCCAAAAGCCTACATGACTATACAAAAACCAGCACCTCCAGTTTCCGAAAAACAGCATGACTGTGCAAAAAAACAGCCCCCCACACATGGGGGAAGCACCAGGAAGGTTTCTGAGGGTATAGAAACCCGTTGGACTTCACGTTTCAGAGGCTTCTCTCCCCCACCACTCCCTGACAGACCACGACACCAGCATCAAAAACCACCACGTTTGCTGGAGACCTTTGGGGGTCTGAGACAGGCTGAGATTCCTCTGCCTCCCTTCTCTAGGATGGAGAGGGCACTCCAGCCTTTCATAGTAGGCTCTCAACCCAGGTGCACCTGTATTTTTCGTTGCCCTTTTCTGAACATGAAACCCACAAAATAACCATTTGTGTTTTGTTCTAAGGCTTGAAGCTGTGCTTAATTATTAACATCCTCTTCAGGGGAGCGGTATTTGCCACAGGACAGTTAAAATATAAACCTATTTCTTAAGCTAGCTCTTGAGGGCAAAGGCAGCCCAGCATTCTTTTGTTTTTTACATTCTCTTCCCAAGGCCTTTAGTCATGTTAATGAGCCTGGTGGGTTAGAACATTTCAGAAATAGAAAAATTATTGAGCAGAAGTAAAGATAGATACTTTTCTGAGGGTGTGATTTTCTTTTCCAAGCCTTTCCAAATTAGACATGCAGGCATGAGCAAGGCAAGGTAAATTATGCCACTTTCTGTGATGACACTTTTCAATATATGTGGTTAACAGGTGATTTGAAAATGAATAGGTGTGATGCAGATGTCAACAGCTCTAACTGATTGTTAAAAATTGACATTTTTATACAGTAAGCCACAGACTTAGTGTAGACCCACTAACTGCAGCAGCAGGTGATAGGATTATTCAAATCCTCAGGAAAAAAAAAAATCAGGAAAATAGCTGTTTCTTTGCTTCCTTCCCTCTCAAGTTCAGGTATTGTCATTGTAATCCATTTGCTCTGAGTTTGCAATTAAATTACCATTTGGGATCCCTGTGGTTCCTTTTCCCATATATTGATCTCCTACTCACTACCCCAGCTTTTGAAAACACCCTTTTTTCTAAGTGGCAACAGGAAAATGGCAGTCTTTCCAACCTCATTCACTTAGCTGTATTTGCTGATGAAATGGAGGCAGAAGCCTCCAGTGAGAAGGAGAAAAAAAAAACCTCCTCCATGTTTCAAACATTAATACAAAGACAAATCTTTCTCTTGAAAGATTGGGGTAGGAAAAGCACTTAAAATTCTTTTACGGAAGGGAAAAATTACTTATGTTCCTTTAGTTCAAACTGAACCCAGTTCCAACAGTCTGTCTGATGTCAGCTCTGCTGACTGAGTGCAGCGCCCATGCAGAGCTCGTGTTGACTGGAGAGCCAGACACCAAGAGAATCGTGGCTCTATCTGCCAAAGAGCTCCTGGCCAGGGTGAGGCAGGGCTGAACAAACTCTGCACCAGGAGTGCAGGTGGCTGCCTACCTTGAATATTTCAAAGCCAATTGGGATGCTGTCTCCTCTCCCTTCTCTCTTGTATTTGCGGCGATCCTCCTGCTGTAACGAGACCAACACTTTGTCCTCGGTCTTCTTGACATCAAAGATGTACTAGGAGAAGAGAGAAGAGGGTGAGCTGCTAAAAGTGGCTCAGGATACTGAGGATAAAGCCATCACTAAGGAAATATGTGTATCTACTGAGGCAAATAGAAATATATTTGGGAATGGGAGGAGAGTTCTTCATATAACAGGTATTCCCAGCTGAAAAGCAATGCTAATAATGAGGATCTTTAAACCAAAAGTATCAAAGACACTGAAAATGTAGTCCTAGTGTTAGGACAAGGGGGAATATGCAGCAGCACCTAGAAAGGCACATTGTAATTCTTGTCCCTGTTGAATCATATGCAGTGTTCCCTGATCAGGTAGCCCAGAGTGTTCCAGGGCAAATGGATTTATAGGAGGGGAACAAGAGGAACAAAGAGAGCTCTCTTGGTCTGGTGAGAGCTCTGCAACTGTGACCTTCTTCTGAGGACATTTCAGCTGTCCTAATGGGTAGTGATCTAAAAGCCAGCAGGTGTCTGTAGGAATACACTTACACTGGGCTTAAGTTCCCTTTCCAAAAGGGACTGGAAGTGTCACAATCCCTTTCTGTACAGGTAAATTCCACAGGAGGCCTCAGTGTCAGGCATTTCACTCAGGGAGGACAGACAAATTATCTCTAGATTATGGTGGTGTGTGCCACAGTAAATTAAAATGGCAGATAGTACAATGGTGTTCCAGCATTGCTATGAAAAACCTTTCAATCAACCAGCCCAGAGATAACACTGGAATACAAAGGACTTCCATTGCATCAGGCACTGCACTGAATTGCAACGGGTATATTTTGCTTTCTGTGGCAGCTAAACACCTACAGATGAGACTCAGACAAGCACTTGAAATACATTCCAGAATCATACAGGGGAACACCTCTGGGAATGAGGCACTGACAGAAGATAAAGCAGTGAAGAACTGCTGCATCTACACCTGCAGGGCAGGATGAGCTGGGAGTCTGAGATTCACTCCTGATCTGAACAGCAGAGGCTGCACTTCCCCAGAATCCTGCTGTGAATACAGAGGGGTGTAGGCAGAAACCTCCCTTGAAGGTGCAGAGAAGCAGATATGAAAACATCTTTAATTAATCTAGAGAGAAAGGTCAGTTTTCAGAGTAATAACTAATGCAGCTCTCATTGACAGTAGTGGAAGTTTTATGCCTGAATTTGCATGTGCTGGGATGAAAACACACCACATGGAGAAGGCAGGAAGGTGAGAAATGGAGTTGGAATGAATGAATGGATAAACTGAATAGCTTGAAATTACCAGGTAGAATGAGACAAGGAAAATTCTGTAATGCTGATGAGAGTGTGAGCTTGGGTAAGAGACCAGATACTTTCAGGATCTTAGATTAATGCCAAGGAGTACTAACTAAATACAGTGGATCAAATCCTCAGGCTGTTCAGGGTATTAAATGAACAAAGCTGTGTCATTGGAAAATCAGACTTGTTGCCTTTCTACAGCTGGGAAACTAAAAGAAGTCCAGGAAGGATGTCAGCAATCCTGGTATGTTTGACTCATCAGCCCCAAACAAATAACTCTACTGAGATATTTCACAGAAATCACTGAAACACAGCACACTCCCAGGGGACAGACACTGGCAATCAGGATTTTTGTCAAGTACTCACTGTCAACTCCTAAATAGGGTGAATACTTCAGAAGCCTCAGCTCAAATGAGTACACTTCAATGCCTCACAAAATACAGGGGTTCCCACCTGGGGATTCTGAAGGAAGGTCTCTCTGTTATCGAAGCAGCCACCAGAGCGATTTAGCAGGGGCTCTGAATTTTTTGTCCAAGCCCCATGCATCATTTTCTTCTCCCAGGTCTTGTGGATGCTGAAGTAGGAGGTATTCACAATCCGGCAGATGTCCACGTCTGTGAAATTCTTACACCAGTCCTCAAATGTCATCCTGTTCCGTGGGACACCAGGAAAATAGTGGCTTATTTAAAAATAAACTGTGGTACTCTTGCAATGAGCCAAAATAACACTCTAAATCTTCCAGTAATTTAAAAGGAGGAGTTGCTCAGCTGTCCAGAGGACAAACTGATTCATTGGAAAGCTTTGCATGTGGACATACTTGTGAAGCCACAATCACACAGTCTGAGAGCTTAATTCAGAGAAATATTGCTTAGTGTGTTTGGTCAGGTCTGGATCTGTTCTGTTGCATCTCCTAAGCACAGAGGACAGGTTGTATCTACCAAGCTGGATTTGGTAACATATATTTTACAAAGGCAAAAGAGATCACCTGCAATCAAAGCATGATCCACTCCTCATTATTACAGTCCTTATTGTCACATCTGTCCCTGATTACAACTCAAATCTCTGTGCTTTGGACACAGCTTTTATGTAGCACCATCCCACTGCTGCAGCCCGTGCCTGCGGAAGCAACAAGCTGGAAGCAACAAGCAGAGCAGCTAAAAAACATTCACCTCCCCAGCAGCTTGGGGACTCTGAACAACCATCATGCCTTGGCTTATTAGTGGCCCAGAACTAAACTCTGAGGTTGCCAGTTCTGACAAAGCCAGCAGAAGGCTTTTCATACTGAGCACTGCCAGCACACTTGATGCAATATTGGCAATCTACTGAAGAAGTTGCTGGACTAAGTATCTTGGGTTTAAGAGAAGTAAAAATTAATAGAGTTCTAGAGATTCTGTAGATAATCAACACTCATTGTGTCCACGCTGGAAAACACCAACAAATATCAAAATTCATTGGCTGCAATTCTATTTATGGATCACTCAGCCATGGTCGACGTAGAAATCCTACAGAGGGGAACAGCAGTCAGTTAACAGGTTTGACTGTGAGTTCAGTACCTGGAATTTTGTCATGTAATCCAGCACATGAGTTATCTGGATTCTGAGTGAATGTCCTAAATATAAGTAATAGATTGAGGGCATTTGAAATTTATATTTACTAAAAGCTACCAATTTTTTTTCTACTCATTTTAAATCTGCTTTTTCTATCCTTCTCTGTCACCCCTTGAGACTTTAAAAGAAGCAGAGCTTGTGCCAGGACTGGATAATCTTATCCATTTGGCAAAATCGATTTTGAAGCTATTAAATGGCAGATTTATTACTCGCTATAGCTAGTGTCTCCAAATCCTTTACATCTCTGCTACTCACCAGAACTCTCCATCATTCTCCAGAACGAGCCCTAAGCTCTTGCGTTCTGAATCGCTGACTTTCTTCCACTCCTCAGAACTAAAAGGAAAAAGAACAAGAAAAAGAAGTAAAAAACCACCACCAACAAAAAAAGCGAACAACAAAGATGATTGGTAAATTGAATGCTCTCACGTGGAAAAAAAATTAGAAGTAAAAATCTCTCATGGCCCCTTGTTTTGAAAGTAACGTCGGAGTCCTGAAAAGGCAGACGATGCTCAGGAAGAAAATGTGAGGCTTGCAGGGGGAGTTTTAAACCATTAATTGATTTGAAAGCTACTAAAAGAGGAAGAGATTAATAGGAAATTGGCACAACTAGAGCAGAACCTTATTGATTTCCTTTGTCACACCCTCCATTAGGGTGCTTAAACACTTAAACAGCTGGTTTGGAAGGTCGTAGGAGATTGACTCCATTCCCTGAAGGCCCTTCAAATGAAACCTGGTTCTTCTCCTCAGGAGGTCATTGGATGCTTCACTTAGACCAGTGTATTCTCTCTGCCTTTTAATCACCTTAATAAACAGGCCTGAGATTTCCCCAGAGAGCTTTTGAGAAGAAACTACTGGAGCATGAGCCTAGTGTCCAGTTTCCAGAGGAACACTGCGCTGCACAGACACTTCATTGCCTGCATGAGCTCAGTGCTCTGCCTTGGCCCCTGCAGGCACCTACCTCTTCCCACTCACTGAAGGGGAACACAGACCTGAAATGCATCTGCAATCCAACAACAGGCAGTGTGAGCCCCTTCCCTGACGTGTTACATTGGACAAACAGAGCCACGATTCCTCAATCCCTCTCCAAAAGGAGGCTAAAGCTGAAGGTGGTTGGCAGGAGGGAAGAGAAGCTGCTTACTATAACAGGCATTTTTTTAACCTATTTGGAAATTGTCAGTTTAATTCTGCGAGGCCAAAAGCCGTGGGCCAACCTCAGAGTCCTCAGTGCTTCCACTGGCGTGAGTGGCAGCTGTGCCAAGACACACAGGCCGGTGGAGAAGCCCAAGGGTTTAAGAGAAAAAAGGCACAGTAGCTCTCTGTGCATTCTTTGCACTTCACCTGGACCAATCTCTTTGAAAGTAACAGATTTTTGCTAGCTAAGGTATAGGATGTAAGAGATTAATACGAACTGTAACATGTTTTTCCTGTATAAATCACCTGTGGTGGAATATATCCCCTCCAGAGATCTTTTCTGTTGCTTGGAAAGGGGACTGCTAAGCTCACATGAAAATTCATTAGAAAATAATTCAAGAAATCACAAATGTAGCAATTTTATAGCATTTTTCACCACTCAAATTATCTAAGAATAAAAGACTTATGGCATTTCCAGCAGCTGGCAATTACGGACAAGAAACTGAGTCAAGACAAACTCAGTGGTGAAGCTGCGAAAAGCCTCGTGTTCTTGACTCATCCCCTTAATTGTGGGCTATTTTTCAGCCCCGGTGCCAGAACAGTGATGTATACATCAAACAAAGGTCCAGGAAGCTGTAAGCTCCTCCAGCATGTGTTCATTTTCTCAGGGAATGCTCTGCCCGGGAGGAGATGGCACAGAGGTTCAGCTGTCGCTGAAGATGGCTGTGTCTGAACAGTGTTTAACCTCGTATCTCATGTCCAGTGCCCCCAGTACAGCTTCATTCCTTTGACACTGGATTTACAGCACTTACTTGTCGCTCCAAGCACCGTTCCATTCTCTTTTCCCCCAGGGATTCCTCAGCCTGATCATGAACAGCTTCTCTGCCTTAAAAGAGAACACGAGCCTTTCTCCGAGGCGCAGCTTCCGAATCGCGGTCACCGAGTAGGCATGGCCAACAACGAGCCCCATCTCTGTCTCCACCTCACTGGCACGGCCAGAGGACACCTTGAGCACCAAGAATGACAATTAAAAAGTGGAACTCACATCACTGAGGGCTTTGACAGCTACGAGTTCAAGGGACAAGACAAGGAGGGTTTGTTTTCCATTCCCTTCCCAAGTGATTTGACTGTCCAGGAAAACAACAGCACTGGTACTTATAACTAATGGCTCGCTGTCCTGATGTTGTGCAGGATAGTGCTGGACAGTTCCTAGCAGGCAGAAGCCCAGAGCTTAGGGGAATGCTGCCTGCTAGAGCCGTTTTGTCTCTTCCTGGTCTCAAGAGTTAGACTTCCAAAATCTTGTAATCTTTACGAAATTGCTCTTCTGGGTATTAGTGACTCTGCTCAGGCTATCTGGTGGTATCCTCAGCTGGACATTCCATAGGGCCTAAGAATTGAACTCATGAGTCCAATGGCTGTTTCTGTGTTGGAGTCAATTTGATATCCCAGAACAACTACTGCTGGTGGATAAAAATAGAGGTCATGGGCAATAAACCTTTCTATTCATTTGTCAAACCTGTCCTGTACCTCTCTTCCCTGGCAACAGGTAGATCTTCAGGTTTATTTAGGAGCTGGGTTTGCTCCTCATAAACTTCATGCAAGCAGCCTAGTTTCCAGCAGTGAACAGGCAGTAAACTGTCCTGCTGGATGACCTGGGCCTGGCCAGAAGCTGATCTAAGAATACATAAAAACTGTCAAGTTCTGAAAAACACGACAATTTCATTTAATGAATCCAGAACTCCTAATCTAAACCCAGAAAAGCAGTGTCATGTAAAGGTGCTGGATTTGCATTGAAGGACTGGCCCTTCACAAAGCCAGCACAATGCTGCTTCTGAGCAACACAGACCAGGCAGGACAGCAGACAAAATAAAGCTGTGTCAGTGTTATAACCCTTCTTCTGAGCCAGGAAGGGCCCAAATGATCCGGCCTCTGGCTTCTTCACACCCTCACTGGAGCCACCACGGGCATTCTTGCACTAAACCACAGCTAGAGATTCTCTCATCTGTATTGGACTAGAACCCGTTGGGCCTGAAGACACTCACTCCCCTGGACAGCAAGGAAGGAAGATTTGACTCAGTGCAGATCCTTGTGTGTAAACTTGTAATAACCTAATTAATGATCAATCAAGCCTTTGCTGTGACAAAGAGAGCAAGAGTTATGGACTCTTGGTGCCATTAATGTAAATATTTAAATATAAATATATTTATTGTTTATCATTATACAGCAATAATTATTATAAAGATATAAATATTTCCATATAAACAAGGACTTATCAGAGTTGTGGAATGCACATGGTACTTTCTCAGACATTTTTGCCCATTTGAAAATTTAACTGGTCTAAACAGACAAGGTCCTTCTCCTAAAGCGAGTGTTGCACTGATACAAGAGTGTTCATTCCCTAAAGGTAAGGAAAAAAAAAAAAAAAAGGAGGAATGAGAAATTTATATCAAATTGGGACTGGCAGATGGTCTGGAAACTGTGAGAGTCTCACCAAGCCCTCTTTGCCTTTCACCAGCAACAGCTCCCAGAGAATCAGCTCATGTGTTACATGGAGACTGGCTGACATTTCCAGTGGGTTTGGGCTTTCTCCAGAGTAACACTTTCACTTGCATTTTTCACAACTAAAAGCAAACATAGAGTCCTTGACAGCATGGGAGTCTGTAACTTCTCCTGCTGCCTTTATTACCCCCCAGGCTTTTCTTACTGCTGGGCTGCCTTTCCCACCTCATTCCAAAGGCATTTATTTATTTATTTATTTAGAGGAGATATTTAAACTTCCAGTGTCTGTTCAAATTTCTAAATGGTGATGCTCAGGGCTATTTTGTGATCCAAGGAAAATGGTGACTTGTTTGTAAGGCAGCAATGAAGCCACTTGAGTATTAAATATTCTACACCTAGCAAGCTTCACTGTGTGCATAATACATCAAAAAGTGACAAATGCAGTCAAACATAGGAATGGCCTCTCTGTAATCAATGTTTAGAAGCATTTGTGTTTAATTTGACAGACAGACACGTAATGCCAGGAAGAAGGGAAAGTGTTACAACTGCCTAATTAATTGCTTTTAAAAGTGCAGCTCCCTGTACTTAGCCTGTGTCCTCACCAGATCCACTTTAGGAAACAGAACTGCCTTAGCATTTGGGAGCAACCTATTGTTCCGTCAACAATGTTTACAACAACAATTCACACCAGGAAGTCTGGTCTGTCAGGCTGGCATGAGCAAATCAAATGGAAGTCTTTCAAATAAAAATTCAGACCTTATGAAAAAGGTAAAACAAAAGCCAAAGACCTTGAAGATTTTGTTCAAAATAATCTCCCAGGAGGTACCACGTGTTCTTCTTTGGTGCTGTGGCAGTGGCATAGGGCAGAGCATGGCCAGGGACAGACAAATGTGCTCAAGCACCTCCAAACACAGCTGATTTTCTGTTCTAGACAATTCCATGACTACCACGGTACTCACAAGACTTTCTGAATTCACCAGCACTTTGGGATCCACCACTTTACCACGGATTTAGTGCTCATGCCACACTATTGCTGCAGCACTTTACCAGTGTTAAGCACTTAATACTAGTGAAGTAGTACAACAATATGACCTTCATTTCACAGGTGTGGAAACTACAGCAAAGTGTTTAAGTGATTTAACCAAGTCCACAAAAAATCAGCCTGAGCTAAAATCTTAAACTGGAAGCAGGGGGTAAGGGGAGAAGATGCTAAGTGCACCTAAATGCCAACCCTGCAGCTCCTAGAGAATGATCCCTTTCCTGCAGGCTGTACTTTAAAAATCATTTAAAAGGCAACCTTTCAGGAAACATTCAGGCTTTGTTAGCCCTCCACGTGCGGTAACAGCTTCGGGCAAGGTGAGAATTTCAGCACTACCCAGTCATAGTCTGACACTGCAGACTTAGACAGGAGTTAAGCCCAGTTGTTGCTGGTTTCCCTCCTACAGAAAGAGGCAGTGCAGGGCCCTTGTCTGCCTGTGGTTTGTGAAGTACATAAAACCCTTTGGGAGCTGCTACCACAGAATCCATCCCCTCTCTGCTACGGGAGCTCCAGGATCGTGGCCTCCTGGTGTAGGCACCCAAGTTACCTGCCTCACGTGAGCCAGTGTAGGCAAGTTTTGCTGGTTAATTCTGATGGGGAGGTTATTAGCAAACAGTACTGCCTGTGTAACCAGGTGAGCTCAGCCTTTCAGCTCAGCCCCAGCGTGTTACACTGGCTGCACCATCACGACAGGTCAAGGAGCCTCAGCGGCTCAGTGTCAGCAGAACTGCTTTCTCTAAACAGATTCCCCTAAGGAATAAAGAAAGTGAACGCTGCCATCTGGCCTGTAAATTAGGGCATTCTAGGTGGATTAACCCCGGGTCAGTACACAACTGTGACCATTGAGAAAGAGCAACACTTCAGACCCACAGCAGAGTGGCAGCACAAGCAGCTTTGAAGTTTTGTGACTGTATTTAGTGGCTCCTGGAGCCGTAGTGGACTGGCAGCACTGCCAACTTTGTAGATTTCTCCATGTAAAGCTTTTAAAAACATGTAAATGAAGGACATACTTAATACACTAATAATGGTGTTTATTCCAGAAGATTTTAATTGAAATTGACTCCTAAAAGCCAGCTCTCTGCACATACCGCAATGGAGCAGCTGATCAACCCGCCTCTTCTATGCACTTTCATCAAGTCTTCAAACAGCTTCATCTGCTCAGAAATGATCTCTCCATATTTGCCCTGTACCAAATCAATAGATTCTGCCACTGCTCCAGTGAAATCCACAATGGCATCTGCAGCACTGCCTCCATCAAGGGCTTCATAGGATCCAGCCAACCTGGAGGCAACACAGAACATTCTCAGATACCAAGGGGCTGTTACCAGTGCTCTAATGGAATGTAGGTAATACATTTGGGGTCCCCCCAAGTCAAAACCAAAATAGAACAAGAAAACCCCAGAAGATTGCAGGTAGGCCTTTCCTGGTTGCTAAGATCCCTAAGGCTTTGGGTTTCTGAAGTTGACTGCATTGCACTCCTTTATGATTCACCCCCTCTGTGCAGATTAAAGGAGTTTTCAGGAGTTTTTTTAGGTTCTCTACTAGCAGCAAAGTTAAAACCCTAGGGAAAGTCTGATAGAACTGAAAGACAAAACGAACAGCTGGATAGAAGGGACAACACAGAGGATTACAAGGACAATGAACCAGCTCATACTTTGCATAGGCTTTCTCCAGCAATGCGCTCCAGAACTCATTTTTCACATTGGAATGGCAGTAGATCAACCTCCCATCCACTGTTGGCAGCAGATCATCAACCACCACCTCTGTCCATTCTCCGAAGCACCAGAAGCGGAAACGGAAAATCCCAGCATATTTCTCCGGGTTTTTAGGGTCCCATTCCTGTTCGCTGAAGTCTGGAATCACCTGAGAAACCATGGAAGGGAGAGCTCATTAAGTGCACTCTGTAAAGGTTTATTTTGAGGGCAGACTGCCTTGGAGCATGCACTCTGCTGGCATTCAGCTTCATGAACAGTTGACTGTAAATAAATGAAGTGGTGAAAAAAGAGGGTGAATTTGGGGTGCAAAGTCCAAATACAGTCCTACTTCAAGCAATCTTTTAAGAAAGCAAAATTCATATTGATCTGCAGAGAGAGATAAAAAGAACCCCTTGCACTCTCTAGCTTTGTTATATCTGTTCTTTGGTGCTCAATGGGACTGAGGAGTGAGGAGGTCTCATGAACTTTTAAAGGAAGAGAAGATTTGAATCTACCAAAATTCACTACTTGATAGTCCTAGAGGGAAAAACATTAGCTGATAAGCAGGGAAACAGCCAAAGTTTATTAGCTTTATTTCATGCACCATGCACATCTGTTACCTACCTGCTGCCAGAGGCGTTTCCTCAGAGCCAGGCAGGAACAGGCAGCCACAAACCAGCAGTTCCCCAGGGTGCCCTGGTGTAAGTCATGGGAGCTGATTCCATTCACAAACAGATGGGGGTCTTCACAGAGGTCCTGACAGAACAAACCAGAGATTAGTGGACACTCCACTCCAGAAATGATCACAGTGTCCTTTCCATCAAGAGAAGCATCAGGAAATGATGTTACTGACACCTGGAGCCCTTTCTTCACTGCCATGCCCTTGGCTGACATGCTGAAAACCCTCCTTCAGCAACAGCCTGAGTTACTGCAGTGACCCCAAGCACACAGCACCTAAGGAGGTGAGCAGTAGAAGAAGGACCTGCGCTCCTTACCTCATGGATTCTCACTGCCCTTTGGTAATAATAGATGATGATCCCAAAATATCGAGACTGCAATCAAAGCCTGGCTATAGAGCACAGGCATGTGAAGACCTCTCAGTCTTCCCTCTGATGTGGCTGTGACAAATCAGTACCAGATGAGCTTATTTTCAGAGTAAAGAATCACTTCAGTGCTGAGCTGGAGGCTGGTTTTCCTGGGCTGGCTTAGCCGATGGCACCTGGAGTTAACTCACGGCACGGAATCCATGGAGCTGCCGCCATTCTCTTTAGGAAAATTATATTTTTGGCATGGGGCTTTTCTCATTAAATGATGGTTGAAATTCTAAATGCCTTTTGGGGAACAAGTAACTGATCATTACAAGACACTGTTATCCTGTCAGTATTTCTTACACATGTCTCCACTTAGAGACATTTCAAAGCTTGTTGACAGACCTGAATAAAAATCTGAATTAAAAAATGGACCCCACGAGAAAAATTGACCATGCTCATCAGCATCGTGGACAGATCCATTCAGTCCCCCTGGATGGTCTGATGTGGAATGGCAACAGGACTTTCAGGCTGACACTTCAGCTGATGTAAATCAACCCAGTTGCCTGTTGCAGGGGCTGACATCAGTTGACTGCTTGGCCTTCACAGTGGTAGCACACGTTCCACATGGCCTGGGGTAGACTCAAGTTTTGTTTCCCATTCCCAGGCAACTCCGGCACTAATAATTTCTAGTTTGTTTTTCCTTTCTAAATGTTATTTTGTCAGAATAATAAACAAGCGATAAACGGAGCCGGGAGGGTTGAATTTGTCCAAACTTTTTTGTCACTAGAGGAAGCCAAAACTTTAATTGGTTTTGAAAGAAAATAGGCACTGCTGTGCACTACAATTATCTTCTCTTCCTTTTTTTTTTTTTTCTAAAAATAACCACATTAAACTGTAATTTTTCAGTTGAAGTGTGTCTCACATCTCACACAGTCCTCGGAGAAAAAACAGAGCAGCATGTGCCAACTGCCAAAACTTATGGATGAGATTAGCCTTTGCTCACTACCGGGGTCCAAAGCAAACATGGAACAGCAGAACTCAGAAACAGCACCTCCCTGTTTCCACCAGAGTCACCAAATTCTTCAGAATCCTGCTTGATAAACCTTATTAAACTGCTTAAGAGACCTGCACTCCTGGGACTAAAGAACAGCATAAGAAAATTACATCAGTTCTGTTCCTTGTGTCGTTAATTACAGCCATTATAACGGTTTCTATGATGACTGTCACCGTGTGGCTCAGATGAGACACACAATAACACTCAGGCACAAGCTAGAGCTAATTTCAGCTGTTCGCTGTCTTCTGGGCTTTTTGATTTTCACCACTTATGCAACACAGCAAATTCTAAGGAATACTTTTAGCTATCTAAGCAGCAATTCCCCCAGCACAACTGGAAATGTGCCATTTCAATATATTATTCGGCAGTCTTTGTGAGGATCTTTCAGCACTTTTGGTTGCCCCAAGCATGTAAAAAAGAAAAATTATTAATTAAAACAAAACATCCTTTTTCCAATAATGCTCCCAGCAGTGATAATTCAGGGTAGTTGAGGACCAAGCCAGTTGCTATCAGAGGAATTACAAGGAAGAGAAGCTGATGTGAGATGTGGCTCAAGCACTTCAGGAGACCTGAAGCCTTCTCTTTCTTGCTACCTAAGCACCAAAACACTTGGACTCTGGGTTCTACCAGAATTACCTCTTTTGTAAACATAATGGTTTAACCCTAATCCCTTTTCTCAGGATCAACGCGTGACATCTGTGCTGTAAAAAGGAGAAATATGTTCGCATTTCCAAAAAAAAAAAGTTTAAAGGCAGTTACTTGATCTTATTGGACGTCATTAATGTCTAACAGGCACACTATTTCTAATACAGCACCGATAATAAAAGCAGTTGTTGTATTATTTATGCCTGCAGGGAGCATTCCGCCATCCAAGATGCAGAGCTCTTCCCGGTTCTCCCCTTGTGTGTGTGCACAACAAAATAAACACCATCTGCAGAACTATAACTGGGCTGTACAGGGTCTGAAAGTGAGGTAAGAGCTTGCAGGGCCTCATGGTTCTGTTGAAAACCCCGACACTCTGATTCTCATACCAGGCTTCCTTTTGTATCTCAGAAGTCTATTCGTGTCACCTCCCCTCCTTGCTGTCCTGCCCAGGCTTGAGATGTCTGACATTCACTGCCATTCGGCCACAGATGCTGTGAGGAATACAGGGGCTCCCAGACCCCCTTTGTTATGATTTTAACTGGTTCATCTCTTTGTAAAGGAGTAAGTAAATGAACTGCTTAACGAGCAGGCTGGGAGAACACCGAGCAGCCTGGAGATGAGAACTGAGTGTGAGATTGCAGGAAATAGGAGTGGAGGAGACAGTGAACAGGTCAGTCAGTCCCAACAAGTGCCCAAATTGGCTATCTCTGACCTACTTGTGACTGAAGCTTCTCTAACCTGTATTTCACACAACCCGCAAGGAAAACCCACACATTCCTCCACCAGTCAGCAGAGAAGTGGATGGCTGAGCTGCTCCATGAGCCCTCTGTGAATGGAGAGCTCAGTTACCTTTCCTTTCAACAGCAGCTCCTCAGATAAGCTACAAACCTGTAACAAGTCTCTTCTCTCTAGTCCTAATAACTGGTTCTTCATGTTTGGTGTCACTGGTGGCATGTGGTGCCCAAATCCAGGCCCTGTGCTCCAGGCAAGGCTATGGCAGTGCTGAGCAGAGCTCGATATTCTTGCTTACTGAAGCTGGGGGAGGCATTTTTCTCTTTTTCTCTTGAGCTTCACATATTCAACTTTTGTTCAGATTGTGATCCACCCTCTGATCCTGTTCTGTGAACTTACTGCCTATTCATTCTTTCTCCCTAAGTGAGCCATGAAGTCACTTAATACCAAAGCACTGCACTTGGGTGCATTGATGAAGCGATGCTGAATTTTACCCTATTTATTCCATATTATTTTCCCAAGCTAAGTTTGAATTCTCAAGTGGCTTGCAATCCTATCCCATGCTGCCTTGCAGTATACACGCCTCCTTAGCCCCTCAGGCAAGTAATAATGAAAATACTAAGGAGTACCAGATTAAGGGGGATTCCTGTAGGACTCCATTGACACAAGGTCAGTTTGAGAGTACTCCAGGTCATTTATTTCATCAGTACAAAAGTTTGAATTAATCCAAACGTTCATACTTTGGAGAAATGTATCAGAAACTGGCAAAGTTTTAGGAAAATCAAATTATATCATATCTGCTGCTCTCTATCTGTTTTATAAGATCTGTCTCACTGTAGGCTGGAAGGAAATCAAGGTGGTACATATCAGGGTATCTGACACAATATAGTCTGATAAATTGCAGTCAGGAATTTCACTGAGATACTAGAATGTTTGGACTGCAGCACAAATATGGAAAATGAGAACTCAACTTTTTGCTACAGTGTGCCTCCCCAAAGGAAATTGCAGAACATTGTGAACCATGCAAGCTAACAAACACCCATGTCACAGGAGCTGTGAAATGGTTTGTGTGTTGCTCTGTCATGATTCCTTAAGAGGAAAAATAAATGAATAAATAAATAAATAAATAAATAAAAAGGAAAAGGAAAAGAAACAGGAAAATAAACAGAAAAAGGAAAGAGGAAAAGGGGGGGAAAAAAGAGAAAAGAGAAAAAGAAAAAGAAAAAAAAAGAAAAAGAGAAAAGAAAAAAAAAGAAAAAGAGAAAAGAAAAAAGAAAAACAAAAAAGAAAGCATGGGGTTTTTTTGAGACCAGAAACACCACAGAAAATACAGCAGATAACTGATTAACTGTAAGCATTAACTTCAGGTTTCTGTGTCTATTTCAAACCTTAAAGAAATTTAGCTAAAGGAGAAAGTTGCCCTTAGATCTGAAGATGCATCTTTTGGCATATGTCTTACTAATATCTAAGAACTAAAAATTATGCAATATCAGTTACGAATAGGAAGACCATTTAAAGAGTTAACTAATTATCTGAGTGTTTTCACAGACATTAAGTGAACCTGCACTGTAAAACATTATGAGAGATCTTTGAGATCTGAGAAAAGGGAAAGATTATAAACAGATTAGGGTCTGTCAGCTTGCTGAGCCAGAAAAAGAGAGATTCAGGGAAAGGGAGGAAGAAAAAATAGCAAATATTGCTTGCAACTAAGATTTTCAAAGGATTCAGTTACGTTTAGAGCTTATTTTCTCCTGTACCTTTTAAAGAATCCAGCTCTAATGTGAAAAATAATCCACCTCCGCTTGCACACAAGACCTATGGAGACAGGCACTCTCCATGATTCTATCAGACTAATCTACTTGAACCCAGTATACCACTCCCTTAATATTGTTTATAGCAGTTTGAATTCTGTCAGAGCTAAGAATTGTTTCCATTGTCTTCTCTTCTCCCATCCTCACATCATCCTGAGTCAGCTCCTGGAGAGAGTGAGGTCAGTGTAGGGGGAAGCAAGGGGAAAGGCAATTCTTTCTGAACGTGGATGCAAAAATTCAGCTTTGGCTGCAGCTGACTATGAACCAACCTCATCTAAAGGAAGGCGTCAAAGACAGCACTTACCTCTTGGTTGTGAAGCTGAAGAGGTAGACAAGATTGTCTATCCTATAATAAAGCCCAGCTGTGCTGGCATGGTTACAGAAACCCTCCCCAGACCAGGCTGTGTGCCAAGGCATTTGCAGTTACCCCTAAGAAGCCAAATAACTGAGCCCGACCATGCTAGATATTCCAATGCTTGCAAA